CTTATATGTCATATATCAAGACATAGGTTGAGATTTTGCTATACGGCCCACGACGATGTCACACGCAATTTAATCTATAGCGGCGTTTACGCTGATGCCGCGTTTCTGTGTAATTTTAATTTTTTTCCCGCCATTTTTCTCGAGTGCAGCGTTTACGCTGATGCGGCCTTTCTTCCGGAAGTTACGGTAGTATCTCTTTTATATGTTGGAAAATTCTACATTAAAATTTATGTTAAACTTTGATAAAAATTTGATAATGATGTATAATTTGAAACTGATGTAAAATTTGAATACTGTAAAGAATATGTTAAAAATAGCCTTTTTTCGGTAATGAAAAAAAATTCTAAATTTTAAAAATAAAATCCCAGTGGCCAATTAGATACTGTTGGTCATAAGTAGGGACGGATTTACGTATAAGCTACAGAAGCTATAGCTTAGGGCCCCCACTTTCTTGAGGACCCCCCAAATTAAAATACACTATAAAGAGTATTAAAATGTATTAGAAAAGACTTATAATGGACTGCATATCTCGATTACAACCTAAAAAAAAATTGCGGCAAAAGCATCGTGGACTAAAACACAGCGGAGAAAACAACGCAAAGCGAAAACGTCGTGGTATAAAATATCGTGGAAGAAAATATTGCAGAGAGAAAACATCGCAGTTCTAAAACATCGTGATTCAAAATATCGTGGTCGAAAATTAAGCGGCTATATATTGTGGTAAAATATAAAGTACTTACAAATCATCGCATGACGATAACATCGCACACATGCGTTTTAGAAATGCCATACTGACATATTATGTAACTGACATTCGTCATAACTAACTAATCGGCATCCAAAAAATTGATTGCCCGCTATACAAAAAAAGATGTTAACGACAGTTTAAGAATAAACGGAAAGCAAACAATGTATAATTTTCACTAAAACAATACCAGATTAACAAATATGAAAGAAAATAATTCGATCATTAACTTAGCAACTTTTATAGAGGTAACCTCATGCAGTTATTTATCTTCTTTTTTCTAAGCATTTTTAGACTCTATTTTTTATAAAAAATTATCAGGAAAACTTTATTAAAAATAGTTAATTTATTAATGACCTTTGTTAACTAACTACGGAAATTTAAAATTCTAGTAAGTTCAATAACTTGCATTTATTTTCTACTCATTTTCAATTTTTTTTTAAATGCTTGAATTTTCTTCTTATTTTCTCAGGAAAAATTTATTAGTTCGTTCAAAAATATGAAATATAGAAGTGAAAGAATCCCTCTTTCTTTCTTGTGCTCCCAAATCATTATACGAACATGCATTCGCAGCTTTTAAAACCTGAAAACGGATGTGTGCGATGTCATGCGGTGACATCTCTTTACCGCGATATTTCTGACATCTCTTTACCGGTGACATCTCTTTACCGCGATAGGCTCTTTTACCGCGATATTTCTGACGGAGATTTTTTTAAACTGCGAAGTTTTTGAACCGCTTTATTTTCGACCACGATATTTTGTACCACGATGTTTTAGAACTGCGATGTTTTATTTTTGCTTTCTTTTCTCCCACGCTGTTTTGTACCGCAAAGTTTTCGCCTTGCTTTGTTTTCTCCGCAACGTTTTCGTCAGAAACCCATATTTCAAATAGCTTAGGGCCTTGTCTAAATCTGGCTCTCTTCATACGTGGCCTTTCTCGAAGGTCACGGTCCATAAGGGCAATGCATCAGGCGCTGGGTCTCTGGGCCAGCTATGAGACTACTGTGTGGCCTCTAATTAAAAACTAGAGGGTTGTTCTAGACCAGGGATCACCAAACTATTTTGGACAAGTGACCCCTTTTCCAAAATGAACTGTTACCTCAGACCCCCATGGCCAAATTATCTACTTTTAAGATCAATCCCCTTATTCATAATGGTCCGCTAACTTAAAACAGCTGCTACAGAGTGTTATTTTCATTCTGACTTAGGTCAATAGGCTTCATGGCATCGTTACTGAATACTTTTTCACATGTGAGACACATCGGCAAGTATTGATTTGATGGAGATGCAATAAATCCGAACTTCAAGTAGTCCAAACTGTATTGTCTGCATTTTTTTTTTTTTTCGTTGTCCGCCATCATAAAACTCTCAGTAATCAGTCACTTTACTTCACTTAATTAGCTATGTAATAACTTTGTAATCTCTTGAAATAAATGAGTACTTATATGAGTTATTATCGTTCAAGCTCCAACGAATTTCAAAACGCAAATGAACTTTCAACCTAAGTGCAAGCTCGTTAAATAGTAAAATATCAGGAACATGTTTGGACTTGATCATGAATTCGTTCGTGTTAAATCGCGTAAGCGTCAAATAGAGAGCAAGTCAAAACGCGCCTGAAAGACGTACGCTCGAACTCATTATCTTGCACAAACTTGTCCACATAGACTTGCCGAGTTCTTCATCTTGTACGAACTTGAGACTTTACATTACTACAACAATGCTACAAAAATAGAGAGCAAGTCAAAACGCGCCTGAAAGACGTACGCTCGAACTCATTATCTTGCACAAACTTGTCCACATAGACTTGCCGAGTTCTTCATCTTGTACGAACTTGAGACTTTACATTACTACAACAATGCTACAAAAATATTAATCATTCTTAGTATACGTAACGCAACATAAACAATACAGTACTTACCTATCTTGAAAGTTTTAAATAAGAACCTTAATAGGAGTCGATTTTTAGACCCCAAAATCAGTTTTCGTTTATGTCGACCCCTAGGAAACCGATATTGACTATCGACCACTTTGGGAATCCCGGTTCTAGACAAATGCGGACGTAGTGCTAAACCAATTAACCGCTACGGTAGGGGAATGGTGCCTACGTCCTCCGTTACCTGGGACCTGTTATTGACTGGACAAAGTTGACAATTACTTAACTGCAAAAGTAATTAAATTTTTGGCTCAGAAGTAGCCACGTATTTAAGACTTCTTTGAATAGTGATAGTTCGATTCCTATTCGATTTGCGGCGATGTTTGAGTATTTTCATGGTTTTCCTTACGCGTAACATGTATACAACTTCAATTTCTTTAAAGTCCCCCACAAGCCTCTGTTTCCACAATGCAATTAGAGTGAATGTCACGTTTTCTCTCGAAGAAACATTTTCTGTTAACGATATTTATAAACAAGGAAATATTTTGAAAAATCAGTCACAATTAGAAATAAAAGCGAATAGCAGTTTGGGAGTGTATTCAATTTTCTGTTACTTTTAAATACGATAAAAAATAAACTATCGTTCGAAATAACAACAAGTGAGCTGTGGAATTTATATATAAAATTTAAACTGAGAATTTAATTTCGCAAGTTTTTGATCAGACAGTAATTAAAATATAATAAAATATGATAAATTAGATTCGGAATTACAAACTGGTTGACACATCATTCCGTAAGGGAGTACGTAAGTGATAAGTGACGGAGGAAGTGGACACTGTCCCTTTACCATAGCAGTCAATCAGTACAGCACCACGCCCACCATTATCTAGAGAACAGAACTAACATATGTAACTAGTATTACAAATAAAAGTATGGTACAATGTACGTAGCAGATACTAGTTCATTACAGAAATGCGGATGCAATACGTAGAGTAAAAAACAGTAACGGATTATACAGTCATGCGTATAAGACATGCGATACAGTCAGCTGCTAAATAACTTCTAAATCACTATGTGGTGCGACTACTGTATGAGAAGAGATTGCAATGTTAGAGTTGAAAAATTATTTCAACATGTACATATTTATGTAGAGTTACTATTAAAGCATGAAACGATGTACATAGCAAAAGTAATTACATCTAGAAAAAAGATATAAACAATATAGCATATACAGATAGTTATGCGACCAGATTACATTCGCAGTGGTGATACCAGAAGTACCAGAAGTACGGTAGATTGGACAATTTGTGACATATGAAGAGTACGGGGTAAATGATACAATACAGTTACCATACGAAGTACAGGTTACAATATTACGCATAGATTGATTATAACAACGCTGTTCATGTGAACTACAATATAAAATACAGTAAATGCATATCTGGATTAATGTATTACTGATATTTTGCAGTGTACATAACATTCAAAATACTATATACAAGTTATATGACACAATACAATTACCATACGAAATACGAGTTAGAAGATCACTGAAAAATTAATAATTACATTTCAATAGTATATATACAACTCATTTCAGAAGTAAGCACATTCCAGTAGTAAATACATTTCAATAGTAAAGTGCTCGAAATATCTTCTGGAGTGAGTACAAATGAAAGCTAAAGAGTGCAAAAGATACCTATATACAGACTATGACATACATATAAATAATATATATACATATAAAATAGCGGCCATACTCGTAACAAGATTACAGGTAGATTAATTATACAATGTTATTCTAGCAAGGAGTGTTATAATACAATATTCAATATGGGTAGACAAATTGCTAGAATCATTACAGGACATACTATTGTCATTTGAAGTGAATATATATTTGAGAAGAAGGATAAGAAACTCTTGCCAATACGATGTAAGACTATGAGAATAAAAATCGGATAAGGTGCTATATACAATATATACACAGGGTGTTGCATAAAAAAATATTGTTGCAAAAGTAGAGTATTGGTATTTTACGTAATATGATAAATGTTAAAAATAGATTGATGCATAATGATATATGCATATCTTGCATATAATGACATATATAGTGATATCTTTAATACAATACAGGTACGTAATATTCAGACGCTATAAGATGTCATATATATAATAGAATACAATTCTGTGCTTAAGTTAACATAAAAAGATGTAAGCATGCATTCTTACGTAAGAACAGAGTACGTAATGTGAAACGTATGTTTCTTTTGAAGAAATATACCTGAGTTTACGCATGCGCTAGAACGTGAATAAATAATTACCTCTTATTTAAAAGTACATCGTCAGTGCCCAAAACCCTTGCATGTAGGTTATTTAGTACAGCTGAACCAAGCAGTCATTGCTTGATTTGAGTATTCAAGCTGAGCAGTAGCTTAAATAAGAAAATGTCTAATCAAGGTGAGGAAGAAACTCAGATGCCAGAATTAGTGGAGGAAGAAACTGAAGAAGCGCAAACGCTGGATACAGGTGCGAAGGAACCACAAATTCCGGAGTCATCAAGTTTAACAGCTCTCCTGCGGGGGCTCCCGGCAGTCAATGAAGGGGCCAAGCCGCTGGCCTCAGTCGTCGATGAAGATGTCAAGCAGATGTCCACGGCCGTCGTGGAGGAGGTCAAGCAGATGTCCACGGCCGTCGGGGAGGAGGTCAAGCAGATGTCCACGGTCGTCCTGAAAGAGGTCAAACACCTGTCCACGGCCGTCGTAGAGGAAGTCCAGCAGATGTCCTCTTCCATCGAAAAGGAAGTCAAGCGGATCACCACAGCCTTCGAAGAAGCAATCAGTCGGCTGTGCATGACCGTCGAAAACGCAGTCGAGCAGCTGTCTTCAGCCGGCGAAGATGTAAAGAGCCGGGCGACTACCGAAAAAACGGGGGAATCATCCACCCTGCCGAGGCCGCCCTCCGTCGAAGTGGAGGTATCATACCCGCCGCCTTCTGTCGAAGTGGACGGATCATCCGAATCGCCTCTGCAGCCAATTTCCTTTGAAGTGGAGGGATCGTCCGCATCGCCTCGGCCGCCGCCTTCCGTCGAAGTGGAGGGATCATCCGCATCGCCTCGGCCGCCGCCTTCCGTCGAAGTGGAGGGATCGTCCGCATCGCCTCGCCCGCCGCCTTCCGTCGAAGTGGAGGGATCGTCCGCATCGCCTCGCCCGCCGCCTTCCGTCGAAGTGGAGGGATCGTCCGCATCGCCTCGGCCGCCGCCTTCCGTCGAAGCGGAGGGATCACCCGCATCGCCTCGGTCGCCGCCTTCCGTCGAAGCGGAGGGATCACCCGCATCGCCTCGGTCGCCGCCTTCCGTCGAAGCGGAGGGATCACCCGCATCGCCTCGGTCGCCGCCTTCCGTCGAAGCGGAGGGATCACCCGCATCGCCTCGGTCGCCGCCTTCCGTCGAAGTGGAGGGATCACCCGCATCGCCTCGGTCGCCGCCTTCCGTCGAAGTGGAGGGGATCACCCGCATCGCCTCGGTCGCCGCCTTCCGTCGAAGTGGAGGGATCACCCGCATCGCCTCGGTCGCCGCCTTCCGTCGAAGTGGAGGGATCACCCGCATCGCCTCGGTCGCCGCCTTCCGTCGAAGTGGAGGGATCACCCGCATCGCCTCGGTCGCCGCCTTCCGTCGAAGTGGAGGGATCACCCGCATCGCCTCGGTCGCCGCCTCCGTCGAAGTGGAGGGATCACCCGCATCGCCTCGGTCGCCGCCTTCCGTCGAAGTGGAGGGATCACCCGCATCGCCTCGGTCGCCGCCTTCCGTCGAAGTGGAGGGATCACCCGCATCGCCTCGGTCGCCGCCTTCCGTCGAAGTGGAGGGATCACCCGCATCGCCTCGGTCGCCGCCTTCCGTCGAAGTGGAGGGATCACCCGCATCGCCTCGGTCGCGCCGCTTCCGTCGAAGTGGAGGGATCACCCGCATCGCCTCGGTCGCCGCCTTCCGTCGAAGGGGGGATCACCCGCATCGCCTCGGTCGCCGCCTTCCGTCGAAGTGGAGGGATCACCCGCATCGCCTCGGTCGCCGCCTTCCGTCGAAGTGGAGGGATCACCCGCATCGCCTCGGTCGCCGCCTTCCGTCGAAGTGGAGGGATCACCCGCATCGCCTCGGTCGCCGCCTTCCGTCGAAGTGGAGGGATCGTCCGCATCGCCTACGCCGCCGCCGCCTTCCGTCGAAGTGGAGCGATCGTCCGCATCGCCTACGCCGCCGCCGCCTTCCGTCGAAGTGGAGCGATCGTCCGCATCGCCTACGCCGCCGCCGCCTTCCGTCGAAGTGGAGCGATCGTCCGCATCGCCTACGCCGCCGCCGCCTTCCGTCGAAGTGGAGGGATCGTCCGCATCGCCTACGCCGCCGCCGCCTTCCGTCGAAGTGGAGGGATCGTCCGCATCGCCACGCCGCCGCCTTCCGTCGAAGTGGAGGGATCATCCGCATCGCCTCGCCGCCGCCGCCTTCCGTCGAAGTGGAGGGATCATCCGCATCGCCTCGGCCGCCGCCTTCCGTCGAAGTGGAGGGATCATCCGCATCGCCTCGGCCGCCGCCTTCCGTCGAAGTGGAGGGATCATCCGCCTCTCCTCCGCCCATTATCGCGCAGCAGCTGGATTGTGAAGCGGAAGTATTTGCTGAAGATTTGTATAATTTTATATGGAATGCATTCAGAATATCCCCAAATCGAATCCCGAGAAGGGTGCGGACCATGCATGAGAATAGAGCAAGATCCAGGTTCACAGAAACCATTGGTATAGCTGTACTTTACACAGAAATTCATTTAAGAGTAGTCGATAGGGAATCAATCCTGAGTAAAGTCAGTGCCACAAGGTTAGAATTTTTTACACGTTTGGTAGAACAGCTTAACAGCTCTTCAACCGGAGACATGTTTTTATGTATTCTGATGACAAGTGCTATTATTGCTGAATACACGTTGGCCCAATACACCTTGGGCAGATACGAATTTCTTGGATTTGCGTGTATTTGCTGGGCAACGTATTTCAGGTGTTACTTAAGAAACTCGTTTTACCAAGCAGGAGGCTGGGACGGCTTAGTTGCGTATATTGCGCGTAAGGAATTTGTTGAACATGGTCGTAGTCCAGTTGCGGACTTTTGTGATTTACCATATCCTTTTGCCCCAGTAACCTCTTCTTTGCTACAGAGCACAGGGCTTCTCTTGTCTTCGTCGCAACAGGGGGTTCTCTTGCCTATCCCGTCACCCAGCAGACCGGGTCTCTTACCAACGCCGTCACACAGCAGACCGGCTCTCTTACCAACGTCATCGCAGAGCAGTAGCGCTTCCTTACCTTCGCTGCTACAGAGCAGTTTGGTTTCCGCTGGATATGGAATAGAAAGAGAACAGGTAGCTCGGAAACCTGGAAAGCGCCACTGGTCTCGGACGCTTTCGGCCGCCGAAGTAAAGGAACGGGACACGGTCCACAAAATGGAGGAGCTTGCCTCGGCCGCCGCCGCCCAGCTGACATTTGAAGCTGAAGCCCCACCACTGGCCGTGGATGTGGAGATGGCTGGTGAAGTGGAAAATCCTTCAAATTTGGGAACATGTTCTGAGGAACTAAGTTCGAATTTAAGACCCGAGAGTTTGCAGAGTCAAGAATTTGACGAAGGAGATGTGGACGCCGGGACTAAATCTAAACGCAAAAAGCCAAAGAAAAAGCGTTCAAGAAGATAAACTTGAGACAAACGAAAGTAAAATTCTTCCCTTGGTCATTTTTTAAAGTAAGAAAAACATAACTGACAAGATCTAACCATAGATCATCTGATATTAACTGGTTGATTTGATAATTTGTTTCCGTTATTGCATTCTTAATGTTTCTTTTTAATCAGATGCTACTTGATTTTGGCATGATATGGAAAATTTGGAAGTTTTAAACTATTTTGCTTCAAAAATTTTTTTAGAGTTCTAAATTTGGTAAAATATCACTATTGTTAAATGACTTGAAAGTGTAAAACGGATAGGTGTATTTTAAAATAACGGAATGCATGTTATTCTTTCCAGATTTGAAAATAAAATTCTTAAGATAAGTGTCCTGAATGTCTTTTTAACAATCTTACAAATTCAAATTTCAAAATGTTATTAACTAAGTTTTCATAATCGGAGTAGTTCATCGCACCTATCATTTTATTCTATCGTTGCAATTACTCGGAATCCCCTGACTACAGGAATATCAAAATTGGAAATATCCGTTTTAAAGATTTTGGTTTTCATTTTTTTTTTTACGCAGATGTCTGATTAAAATCTTCATATGCAAAAATTTACTAATCTACATCGCTAAACGAGGGAAGAAAGAAACTAAAAGTGAAGTCTTAAAGTTTAGATATTCTTGTAAAAATTTAGATTTTTAAAGGAACTATTGCATTTATCCCCTCGATGACGCACAGGTTTTTTGTCAGCAAAGAAACACAAATCTTGGTAGTAAAACTTTGAAACTATTTTGATGTAATTGAGAATAGGTTTGATTGGTAAGAAATGACAGCGATTTTGCAGAATTGCGTGCTTTTTATAATAAAAGTTTATCAGTAGTGTTTAATTTCGAAGTTTCAAGGTAAGGAATGGGGTATTTGTATCGGATTCAAGAAATGTGTTTTATTATAGCTAAGATTTGCCTGAAACCACCCCCAATACTTTATAAAACCCTGCTCACACTTTAATACCTCATAATAATTTTTACATACTTTAAACGGGAATGGAGTGTTGTGAAAAATAGCAGTAGTCTGTGCATATTAATCTGTACTTCAGTAACATTAACAATGCTTGGCATTAACTTCAATTAAGAAGGTAAATATATTTCAAGAACTCCCAATCTCTTTAGAACAAAAATAGTTAACTGAAAATTAGTCTTTCTCCAATGGTATGTTTTATGGGCGTTCATTTCGTTGAGCACAAAATAAATTCTACCTATGCGTGAAATCTGTGCTCCTGATTTTTCAACTGAAACTTAATTCTAGCCCAAGCGCACTTGGTTTTATCAACTAAAGTTCAATTTCACAAAGTTTGATCTCTTAAAAATTTTCATTAGCAGAAAGTAAATCTTGGAAATCAGTAGCATGTCTCTTTTCCTAGGAAACAAAACCTTGGATAGATGTTGATGTCCACATTTCAATTTTACTCTTCAGAAAGCTCGGTATAATTTAAGTGAGATTCGGGAATGAGCAATTTCTTCTTTTTATAAAGTATTGGGGGTGGTTTCTCTGTTATCGTTTCTACTGATCAAAGCACTGGCGTTTCCATTTATCCGCGATATATAAGAGGATGGGATACTGATATATTATCGGTGTGCAAACCTAAACTCGACTGGGCCGTCACTCGTGGAGTACTAATTTGTTTTAAAAAAAACCAAGAATTTGAAGACTGATCACGCGAATGTTGCAAATATACGAGATGGAAGATCTATGTCTGAAGCAGACTTTGAGAGGAGTTACGGGGGTACACATTTTACATATGCAACCATGAAACAAATGAAATACGTAAAAGTGTAAAATACCATACTGACAGAATGAAGAAGTAAAAACAAACTATGCACATGAAAATTTCAAAATATACAATCCTGTAGGGAATTCTAAATTCTCAAACACTAGAAATACAATACATCTAATAACACGAAATGGGAGGAAAAAAGTAAAGCAAAACCAGTGTACGAATCTTGTGTACTAATGACTACAAAATATTTGTAAATAGAAACATGGAAACGAATAGAAATATGCAAAAGTATGTTTAATTAGAACTAGGAAAAGTTATAGTCGCCTAACAGATGAGCAGCGAGATCGATAAACCTATCATCTCCCAGTACTACGTAATTGATTATCGATGAGTAATTAACAACAGAGCTGTTTGTCTTAGAAAAACATTTCATTGGTACTTCTGAGGCACTCGCTAATAAGATTTTTAAAACCTTAACGCAGCATCAAATTTCTGATGAAAACGCAAGGACTAATGATTCGAAGCTAATTATTTTGAGTAATCAGCAGTTTATTAATATCTACTGGAACAGCTGTTGTGCATAGACGTAGCAATAAAAAAAAGTCTGCTAATTGTATAAAGTTACTTTTTCCTACGGTTCAAATTGGATATGTAACCAAGTAAGGGTAGAAGATATTATTGCCATGCATACTCTCTTGCGCTTACTTGGCTACTGATGAAATCTGGACTTTTGGATGATGCAGTATTACCTACCACGTATGCACCTCTACTAACTGCCCATTTAGTGTATTGGTCCCATTTTAAGATTGTGACTAAAGATGGCAGTCAGACAGTTAGCTTTGGTTATTCTTGGTACTTCTTCAGTAGACAAATTCATTTCACGCTTGGTCTTGTGCCGTCTTATTTTAAGCAGCTGAGGCTTCTATTTATTTATACGCTTAGTTTTCGGCAGCAATCTTCAATCTCATTTCGCCCTGTGAATTTTCAAATTCTTGGTTCTTCGAAAATGATCTTACTGTAATTGTGGAATCATCTGCATAGCAGGCCAAGAGCTGATAGTAGTCATTTCTCGGTTTAGGAAAATCGGCTATGTAGATTTGGTTTGGTTCATTCAGTAATGGCAAGTTTATTTTTCTTTAAAAAGAGAATGACTTTTGCTTCTTTTGAAATACTAGGAAAACAAGATTGCACGAATGATTTTAATAAGTCACTGTTGGCTGCGAAAATTTGCTCTAAAATGACATTGTCTATTCCGTCGGGACCAGACGCTCTTTTATTATTTGAATTTTTTATCTTATTCTTTTTATTTAAATAAGAAGTGGGTGATCAGAGCTAATTTCTTGTGATCATAGAGTCCTTTTATGAAATCTTCATGAACTGGTAACTAGTGGAATCATCCTCATCTTGAGGAAATAATTGTGAAAGAATTTGTAGTGTAATTTCAGTTGAAGAACGGGTCTTTTGAAAGCTTGATACTGAGAGTTGGTGGAGGCATAAAAAGTTTATCTGTTTAAAGGCTGAACCATCCTAGACGTATTGCTGCAGAAATTGCCCCAGCTGTTTAAGTTAGCTATTCTAATATTTTTTGTATAAAGTACTCTTGATTTGTTGAAGAGTTGCTTTAATCTATTTATGTCTTCAATTTCTTTACAAGCCTTATATCTTCTTCTTAATGCTTCTTTCTATTATAAGATTTTCATTTCACCAGGTGATTTTAAGTTTTTATAGGTTGATCTGAATTTATAGTTGCTATTGCAAGCTTCTATCATTATTTTAATGAAATTATTCATAGTTATTTACTTTCTTTTGTAGAAACTCTGTCAAAAGAATCGATCATTTCATTGGATATATTAAATAGTTTTGTCTTAAAAAGATTGTGGCCACCGTATTTCGTTTTATATCTTCTTTTCACTCTAAATAAAATTTCATGTTGTAGTTCAAACGTGATATAATTGTTATCACTTAAAGAATCTATCTCTAAGACAGTTCCGTTAGAAATTAATGAGGCTAAATTTGAAGTGGCTAATGTGAGATCTATCCAACCTTGAGCTCTTTATGTAATAAAGTAGTTATGTAATAAAGTAGGTGGAATTCAGTAATGCTAGACGTTTTTATTGAATGGCGTTCTGTGAGGATTCTTTCTATATTGTTTTCAGATTTGGCTCCCCATATAGGACACTGAGTATTCAAATCACCAGAAATAAGATGGTA